TGAGGACTAATTCAAAAATTTAAAAAACAAAATATTGTGGGCCAAATAAACATGCCTGTGGTCTGATTCAGCCCACAGGCTACTGTTTTGCAACCTCTGATGTAAAGAATTTGTGTTCAAATTTGCTACCTCTGTTTTTCAAAGGTCAATTTTTTTTACCTTATATATTTTTATATTTTCAAGAAAACACCATAATCAGATATTTATGAGAAATCTGCCAATTTTTCAATGTTGACGACTAATTCAAAAATTTAAAAAACAAAATATTGTGGGCCAAATAAACATGCCTGTGGTCTGATTCAGCCCACAGGCTACTATTTTGCAACCTCTGATGTAAAGAATTTGTATTCAAATTTGCTACCTCTGTTTTTCAAAGGTCAATTTTTTTTTACCTTATATATTTTTTAAAAATTAACTCTATAGAAAAGTTTTGAGAATAGTACAAACTTTCATATACTCTTCATGTGGATTCAATGCTACTCATTTTGGAATCTCTGGACTGAAATGTTGAATCACTGAACAAATGCCATACGGAAAAATAAGCAAAACATAGTATGCCAAGTTCCTGTAAGCTAAAGTGACAGGGTGAAATGAATGCTAAAAAAAAATCATGACAAAAGAAATGAATCAGATAGAAGGATGGGAACAAACAAGAAGAGAGAACAGACACAAAGACAATATAGCACACCATTCGTTTCGCCTGCTGAATGCTTACTTCATTTTGTTTTATTTTATTATTATTTTTTTGCATGGTTTAAGTAGTAAGAAAAACAGACAAATCACCAGGAGCACCATGCAAGGACAGAAGACAGCAGACACGCTAACAGTGTACTTGCAGCAAAACCTCACTAATTCAACCATCACCCGTTTTGCAGTTTGGGATTATTTGGACAAGCAAGGCTAAATTTCATCTTGGCATTATTAATTCTTTGGGAAAGTGTGCTAAGCAAATGAGCAGCGTAAACAGGGGAAATGTTGAATATTTGTTCTGGCAGGAGCAAAAGCAAATGAGTAGCTTTCCAATTCTTTCTAATTATATTGATGTGCTGAACTTTTGTCTAATTATTATGTTTCTCAAAAACTGAGTAGTATTTTTTTCCCATAAACCATCTTGTATTTTAAAAGCACTGGGGAAAATCTGACTTTAACACAAAGGTGAATATTTTCCTAATGAGTTACTCAGAAGACTCACGCACTGTCAAATTGCCTTATGTAAATAAAAAATGTCAAAAGTCGGGTTTTCTTTTAAATAAAGAGTGAACTAATTACAAAGATTATTATTTGCTAGAGAGCTTCATCAGAAGTGCCTCCCTCTCCTGTCAGCAGTGTGGAAGAAGTCTGCCCATTTGCAGATAATGATAGCATCAGCTACCCTGGAGAGATGTTTTTTTTATATACCAGACTTGGTGTTAAGTGCTTTCATGCATTATTTCATTGAATCTGCAAAACAAGGTAAACTTCATCATAATCTCCATTTTACTGACAGGAAAACTGAGGCTCAGCAAGGTCAAAGTACACAGCTGAGATTCAAATCAAGGGCTATATGACCCCCAGAACCTAAGAGCATTACACACGCTGTATCAGATACAGATAGGACCTGCCCAAAGTCAAAACCAATGAGCCAGGGAAAATGTTGTGAAAAGCTATGGTGATTTGGACATGCAGAATAAGCTAAACTATAGTCCAGTTTGGGGATACTTGCTAGACATTTAAGCTTTTGTGAGTTTAAGAAGTAAATGTTTTTATAATAAGCCTAGGCTTGGCTTATCTACCTGGCTGGAATCACAATTCATCAGGGTATGCTTCACTTTTCCCAATAGATATGTGTCTATACAACTACGTGTAAGTCAAAGTTTTAAAAATTGTAATGGAAAATGGGATTCTTTGAATGTTAAATCTAGTCTTAGGGTAAATACTTTCTTAGAATAAATTTTTCGTTTTTGTAACCAATCTGAAAATGACCAAATTCCTCTATTGGGCCATCATAGTGTCCTAGGAGCACAGAGATGATAACAATTAGAAGTGACAAAGCAGGCTTCTTGAAAATGGTTTATAGCAGTGTTTCTCAAAGTGTGTTCCACAGATCTTGGGAGGAGGAGGGGTCCACAAAGACAAAACTATTTTTATCATAATTCTAAGATATTTTACTGTGTTGACATTTGTACTAATGACACAAAGCAACAGTGGATAAAACTGCTTGTAGCCTGAATCAAGGCAGTGGTGCCAAACTGTCCGGGTAGCCATTATATTCTTTACTGCCATGTACTCATGGTAAAACAAACAAAAAGTCATATTTACTTAAGACTGTCTTGATGAAAGAGTAAAAATTAATTTTAGTAAATCTCAACCCATGAGTACACATATTTTTAATCACCTATGTGAAAAAATGGGAGGTACACATAAAGCACTTCTGCTATAAGCCAAAAACTATAGTTAATCTCAGAAAATACTTGAGCGATTATTTGAGTTGGCAGCTGAAAACTAACTGCATTTTGTAAAGAATGCAATTTTTATTTGAATGAACAATTAACAGGCAAATTATGATATTCAGACTTGGGTATTAAGTGGACATTTTCTCAAATACAAATGAAGTGAGCCTGTCACTTCAAGGAAACAACTGACAGTATTTGTTACCAATGATAAAATTCAAGCTTTCAAGTGAAAACAAGTGAAAAACTTGTTTCCATTACCTTGAGTTTAATAGCTTCCTAACACTTAAACTCTTTTTTTAAAAAATGAGATAGGTAGTGATATTAACGAATGTGATTTTTTGATGTTATGTAATGACATGTCTAATGTCAACATTTGGAAGATTTGCATAACTCAGTGAACCAACACTTTCCACATGACCAATGACGGATGTTATAAAATCATATACGGGTAAAGCAGTCAATCAAAGGGTAAGACAGATCAATGGATTTTAATGTAACAGAGTACAGAAATTCACCAATATGGTTTCAGATGCCACATTGTGATTAACCTTTAAGAAACTGCCACTTGCTAAGTTTTAGTAAGGTATCAAAGAAGAGCGTCTACAGTTATCTGAAAAGGCAATTAAAACACTCCTCCCTGTTCTAATAATATAGCTGTGAGAGGCCAGAATTTTTTCATGTACATCAGCCCAAAGAGCATAACAAACAATTTGGATGCTGAAGCAGAAACCAGAGTCTAGCTGTTTTCTATTAAGTCAGATATCGAAGAGATTTGAGAAAATGTAAAAGAATGCCATTCTTCCTGCTGAGGGAGGGAAATATAGCTGTTTTTCATTTAAAATATTTATGTTTATTAGTAATAAGTTTATTGTTATTTTTAAATAAATTGATTAACGTTTGAAGATTTTCTCAGTTTTAACTTCTGGTATGGTAAATATCATAGATATAATATATATAATATAAACAAAGCTCTTTTGAGATACAAGCATAAAGGTGTCCTGAGGCCTAAAGGTTTGAAAACTTGTTATACAACAATATTACATTGACCTTTCCATAGGACAAACTGGTAAGAGACATTATATAGTACCTCTGAAGTAGAAAGGGCAAAGACAGCTTTTAAGCACAGGACAGAATGTTTAATTAGAAAATTTTTTTCCATACTGCAGTCAGCGAATATCAAAGAAATGCAAATTTCCCAGGAACAAATTCCCCAGAAGTGAGGGACAGTGGTATAGTAAGAAAAATGGTCTGAATTCTAGCACAGACCCTACTAGTCTCACTAGATATCAGTCTTCCCATCCACAAAGTGAGATATCAGAGTAGCCTATTTTTAGATTGCTTCCAATTGTCAATGCCATGATTCTAATCAGGGATCCTTGCCTAAATGGTGGCCCACAGGCTGCCTCTGGCCTACAGACTGCTTGGCTGTTACGGTATTTTGAGAAGGGCCCCATGAAGACAACTGGCTGGAGCTGAGTAAGAAGCTTCCCAGGGGAACTGATTTTCAGTTACAGCCCCAATCCAGCCCACTAAACTGCCCCTGCAAACTTTTGGATTTGCAACTTCTGGAATGAATGGCCCCTAAAAACCTTTCCAAATCTCAAACTCCATAATTCAGCTCCAGAGACAGAGTGTCTGAGTTCCTCACACACTCTGCCACTTGCTAGCTGTTTGGCTTTGGACAAGTTACTTAACTTCTCTGTGTCTGTTTCCTAATCTGTAAAATGGGATAACACTGACCTCAAAGGGCTGTTGAAGCTTAGCTAGGTGTTGACTGACTGTGCTTACAGAGTCGGCACTTGATAGTACTCTGTTAATGTGGTTTAATATTACTAACACAAAAGCACAGGAAGTATTCCCTAATCTCCCCCAAACCCTATACCAACTCCCCAGTAGCTGACGACTGCACTCCCCACGATCACGCTTACCTCCATACCAACTGCCAGATCCCACAGTTCCACATTCCAGGACCCACAAGATGCTCCTCAGACCTCTACTTGTCCTTCCCCACCCTAAATCCCTTTGCTGAGACCCCCGCCAGTACCGGGTTCCTACACAACCACAGCTCGGCACAGTGGCCATTCCACTGACCACTCTCCCAGCCTCTCCTCCCATCCCGGACCATTAAGCCTCCCTTTCCTTCAGACTGGAGGACACTTTTGGTCCCGCCGTGAGGGTCCAGGGGTCTATGGCCTAGGATTCTACGCAGGGAGGGCTCAGAAAGGATGGGAGAATAACTCCCCAACCTCCCGGAGGGGTACACGGCCACTCACCGTCCATTCCTAAAGGTGGCGGTTCCGGGTGCTCGAACCGGAAGCGGCCCTACACTGTTTGCAGTTCCCCTGGTTACTACGGAGTTCCGGGCCAATGGCGGTGGAGCTCCACTTACTGAGTCCGCCCCCAAGGAGAGTGACGTAACGCCGGCGCGCTAGAACTCCTCCTCCGATCTCCGGGTAGGACCAGCCTCCTTGGGCCGCCGATCGTTCTGCGCAGGCGCGCTGGAGGGGGTTGGGAGGGGCTCGGCAGTGTGGTGCGCAGGCGCCCTGGGCGCTGCCGACTGAAATAGCAATGGACGCGCTGGAGTCGTTGTTGGACGAAGTGGCCCTGGAAGGGCTCGATGGCCTGTGTCTGCCCGCGCTGTGGAGCCGCCTGGAGACTCGAGTGCCGCCCTTCCCTCTGCCTTTGGAGCCCTACACGCAGGAGTTTCTGTGGCGGGTCCTTGCCACGCACCCAGGCATCAGCTTCTATGAGGAGCCTCGGGAGCGACCGGATCTCCAGCTGCAGGACCGGTCAGCGGCCTGGCCGCGCGCGGGCACAGAGCCCGGGATCTTATGGAGCTGGGCGGGGGCGGGGGGAAGGAGTGGAGCCGAGGGAGGACCGGGAGCCTGATGGGCGGGCGCGGTGGTGAGGCTGATTTGGGGAACCTCAGGCCTGGCCGGGCCCAGGGGTCTGATGGAGTTGGGGGTCATCTGGTGATGGCCCAATATGTCCGTGTGTGTGTTGGGGGGCAGTGGTGAGCGTGACTGGGGGAATATTCTTCCGTTTTCAAAGAATATTTCCTTTAAAGTGAAGGATAGGGTTGGAACAGGAAGGCAGTTCAGATCAAGACTGGAAAAAGTTAAGGGACTGGCGGGTTAGCTCGGTTGGTTAGAACGCGGTGCTGATAACACCAGGGTCCAGGGTTCAATCCCTGTACGGGCCAGCTGCCAACAAAACACACACACGAAAAACAAAACACTGGAAGGGCTGGCTAGTTAGTTTACTTGGGAGAATGTGGAGCTGATAACACCAAGGTCAGGGGTTCAGATCCCAGTACTGGCCAGCTGCCAAAAAAAAAAAAAAAAAGACTGGAGATAGCAGTTGACGTCAACAGACCTTTATGGAGCACTTATTCAGTGCCAGACTAGAGAGCCTAAGGCAGCTAGTGATCTGCATAGGAGCAAACTTAGCAATAATACTAGTAGCTGACATTTATTGAGTGCTTACTATGGGCTAGGTACTATTCTAAGATCCTGTTCGAGGAGCTTCAGGATATTGAATTCACTTGATCCTCATAGTGATCCTATGAGGTAGGTGCAGTTATCCTCCCCATTTTACAGAGGAAGAAACTGAGTCATGGAGAGAGGTTAAGTAACCTGTCCAAGGTTATGGGGATAACAAGTGACTAAACATTGATTTGAACCCAGGCTGTCTTTCTCCAGAGTCTGTGCTCTTAAGCCATATTGTGAGGATCAGGGGATGTTCCCAGAAGTAATAATGTTCACGACAAGACTTTTTTTTTTTTTTTCTTAAAAGATGACCGGTAAGGGGATCTTAACCCTTGACTTGGTGTTGTCAGCACCACGCTCACCCAGTGAGCGAACCGGCCATCCCTATATGGGATCCGACCCCGTGGCCCTGGTGCTATCAGCACCGCACTCTCCAGAGTGAGCCACCGGCCGGCCCTCACGACAAGACTTAAAGTGGCAAGTTGCAAAGAGTACTCTGGAGAGAGAACAACAAATGTGAAAGTATGAAGGAAAAGAAGTAGTTAAGTTTGGCTGAAGTGTGGAATTGGAGGTAGGGGCAAAGAATAGTTGTTGACACTTACATTGTTAGCTGGAACTGCACTAAGATCCTTACATATAGCATATTATTTAAATTTTACAGTAACCTTAAAAGTGGGTATTATTATCTGCATTTTGGGGGTTAAGTGACTTGCTCAAGGTCATCAGTTAGCAAGGGCAGACCCACAATTTGAATCCAGGAGGTTTCAGTCCTTGATCCACTCTGCCCGTAATCAAATTGGACTGGAGAAGTAATCAATGATCATTTAATCCACTTAAAGAGTTTATCCTTTAAACAATCAGAAGCCATTTGGGGGTGGGGGGAGTCAGACTATAGGCAAAGAGTGAAGTAAAGAAATTTGTAGTAATCCAGTCACAGATAATCAACCATGGTCTGGCTTATCATAATAGGTGGGGGAAAGAAGAGGAGAAGATGGAATCAAGACCCACAGGGTACCTCAAAAAGTCATGGAAAAGTAGAATGAAAAAATAATGTGAATCTTGCCATGTACTTTTTTTTAAAAAAAGATGACCGGTAAGGGAATCTCAACCCTTGACTTGGTGTTTTCAGCACCATGCTCTCCCAAGTGAGCCATGGGCCGGCCCCCTTTACCATGAACTTTTTGAAGCACCCTTGTATCAGACAGAAGAATCAAGAGGATTTGATGACTGATGGATGTGGGGTGTAGGGAAGGTAGAAATCAAGGGTGACGTCCTCTGGCACCTGCTGTTTGGGAATCTGAGTGAACCCTGATGTCTTTCCCTGAGGCAGGGACACAGAAGAGCAGAAGTGGCTGAGAATATGTGTGGAGACACATTGAGTTTGAGGTTCTTTAGGTTTGTCCAAATGAAGGTTCTGTTTGGTAAACATCTGCCTGCGTGGGAGTGAAAGCAAGCCAGAAGGAGGGATGGGCTACACGTTTGTGAGTCATCCCATGTAGCATATAGTTGGTAATTAAAGCTGTTGGCTCAGATTATCCCTGGAAGAGAGTGTGGTGTGTGATTGGAGGCCCTTAGACATAGCCCTGAGGTGCACCTACATTTCAGGTTAGATGAAAGGAGACTGGGAAGGTGTGGTTGGACAGTCAGGCCACAGCGGTGTCCTGGAAGCTAGGGAGAAGACGTGATTTGACAATGGAGGGTTAAATTGTGCAAAGGTCATAGAGGGGGCAAAGAAGAAAAGGGTGGGAAAATGTATACATGATCTAGCCTCAAATAGACATGTGGGATGTGAGCGAGATTTCAAAGGAAAACTTGAGAAACTTGGCTGACCAGATTATAGAAGAAACACAGGTCAAGGATGTCTCCATGGTGTTGATAAGAAGCTACTGGGAGACTGTTGTGCCAAGGAGGGATTTTATTGGAGGTGGGAGGAGGCAGTCATAACTTTGGTTTTGATCTCATGGAAAGTGAGGTGTTTGATAGACTGTTGAAGACACTGGATTGATGTTTGGGGAAAAAGACAGAACTGAGGATTCAAAGCTGAGAATTGTCAACGTGTGGTGATAATTAAAACCATAAAAATGATGATAGCTAGTGGAGAGATAACTAAAGAGAGATGGAAAGATGACATCTTAAAGGAGGAAAGACTTGAATGATTCAGTCCAAACTTGGTGGTAGAGACTTGGCACCCAATTTGGAGGGGAAAAGGCCATGATTTGGTCTTGTAAGGTGGTTTTGGTCCCAGCACCCAGCCTCTGGGCAGTTTGGGGGATCCTGGAAAAGTCTGTGTTTTGAGGGTAGAAAGGCAGGAACCTCCTTGTCAAAACTATCTGCATTTGTGAGGCAGGGAGATCGCGACATCTCACCTCTTCTCTCTGATCTCTGCTGGAAGTTGTCCAAAAAACATGCCACTGAACCATGCATAGTTTCTGAAGCTGAGTTGGGGTTTGATATTTGTGCTCTCCCCCTTAGGTATGAAGAAATTGATTTGGAAACTGGCATTTTGGAGTCCAGGAGGGACCCGGTCCCTTTGGAGGATGTCTACCCCATTCATATGATCCTAGAGAATAAGGATGGCATCCAGGGCTCGTGCCGGTACTTTAAGGAGAGGAAAAACATTACCAGTGACATCAGGACCAAGTCTTTGCAGCCTCGTTGTACGATGGTAGAAGCCTTTGACAGGTAACTGATTTGTACCATCAGAAATTCCTGGGAATCCGAGAGCTTTGAAGACAGGAGTCTGGCCTGCAGCCTCCATGTCTATCAGAGTTCACCAGCCCTGCACTAGGCCACTTCTCGGCCTCCTTCACACCGCTCCTGTTGGGCCAATTGAGGTCAGAGGTCCTGCCTTTCCCCTTCCTTTCTGTCCATGGTCCTAGCACAGTTTGGTATGGCAGGTAGCTAACGTTTGGATGGTGCCTTTTGTTTTCTGGTCCTAGAGGGGCCCTATGCTCCCAGCCCTCCTTTTGCGAGTCCTCAATCAGTGTCTCAGTTTCCCAGAGTGGCTAATCCAAATTGTCATTATTCTCAAACTCCTAACCCCATTCTCACGTCTCTTCCTACTTTACAGGGCAGTGAACTCTCCTAACTTCCACCTTTTTCCTCCACTTCCAAGACTTCGAGAGTTTTCCATGTCTTTCCCCTTTCCTTAGACAGGTAGCCCTCTCTAAGGCTGTAATCTGGATGCTTCTCTCCCTCCTTTTCTCCCTTCCCCCCAGCCCAGCTCCCTATACCTCATGTTCCTTCCTACATCAAAGAGTAAGCTCTCTTTCTCCTTGATTTTCAACTTCTGCCTGTCTGCTGGTGCTTTCTGCTCAGCACTTTAACACAGATCGCCCCTCTCACAACAGAACATTCTCTTGACATAGCATGCCCTGTAACTAGCGACCTCTGTCCCTGCAGTTGTGCTTCTTGCAATAAACTCTGGTCTCACCATTTCCACCTCTTCCCCTCCCCTTCACTCCTTCCTGACTCTGTCACTTCACCACAATTTTGGCCTCTAAGATCCTGACTGACAAGCTAATGGACACTGTTAGGCCTGTAGTCTCCTTGACCCGACTGTATCATTAGGTACACTTGAAGCCTTTGTCCCCATGGCTTCCTGTCTTATGTTGTTTTTCTACTTTCCTCGCAGGTCCTCACCAGCTTTGTGGACTCCCCTACCTCCTTTCACCCCTTAAACATCAGCTGCTCCCAAGGGCTCTGCTGTCCCCCAAGCCTCTCTCCCAAGTGCCATGTGTATTATTTCAGTAACCTGCCCTTATAATCAGTGTGATCCCTACTCTCCTTAGCCCCAAATCTGCCTTTTCTGCCTTTTCTTCTCTCTCATTTCTTTATTCTGGCTAGGGGTATTCCCACGCATCTAGCTCTCCAAGCTGTGGACTTGGGACCCTGCTAGGGCCCTTCTCACCCTGACTTCTACATTTAATTGGCCACCAAGTCCTGTTGACTTGGCCTTCTCAATTCTTCTCCAACCCCCTTTGGCCTGAAATTAATGCAGTAGTTTCCTTTCTCCTTTGCTGCTGTCTCTCCTCTTTTTAACTTCCCAAGTGCATGGAGGGTTTCTTCCTACATGGAAATGTGATGGATAGTGCCCTCGTCACTCAAGGCAGAGGTTTCAGATGGGCCAGATCTGCCCACAGACAAGCTTCGTTTGCCTGGCATGGTGTTGTATTTTGTTTTTAATGTTATTTCATTGCTAATATTTAAAAACCTGGATATCTAGCTTCTTTCAGAAAATCACAACATCTAGCCACGCTGGGACTGATTTTTATTTTGCAATATAGGCCAGAGCCCCCTTCAGCTGAGCCGTGTACCGCCTGGTTCCACATATACTGCGATTTCCTTTGGTGTGCTCCCTGCCCTCCTGACTATAGCCTAGAAGGCTCTTTACCGTCTTTCAGAAAATCACAACATCTAGCCACGCTGGGACTGATTTTTATTTTGCAATATAGGCCGGAGCCCCCTTCAGCTGAGCCGTGTACCGCCTGGTTCCACATATCCTGTGATTTCCTTTGGTGTGCTCCCTGCCCTCCTGACTATAGCCTAGAAGGCTCTTTACCACCTAGCCCCTGTCCACCCAGCTCTCTGACCTCGGTTCCCTCCACCTCTCCACCCTGCCCTGTGCTTCAGCTGGAACACGCCGGGCTCCTTTCTGTCTCAAGGCAATGGTACATGCTGCTCCTTCTGCTTAGAAAGTTCTGCTCTCAGATCTTCCCATCACCACTTCCTTTTCATCACTCAAGCTTCAGCCTAATGTCTCAGAAAGTGTTCCCCATTGCCCAGGCACCATCATATTACTTTTTTTGGTACCCAAAATGGTTTTAAGTGTTTACTTATGTCACTTTTTCTTACCAGACTGTAAACTCCTCGAGGGTGGGGACTCTGTCCATCTCATTTCCTGCTGTATCTCTCATGTCTACAATATGTTGGCATAAAGTCAGCTCCTAGAAATACATGTTGACTGCTGACTGTTGGGTTTGAAGTTGTAACCCTGACCTGTGTGTGGAATCTGAACTCCCAGTGTGACATCACCAAGCTGTTCAGGATGTGGCCTCAGCTGACCCCTGGAGCTTCCCATCCTTCTGCTTCCCAGCTCACAGCCAAGCACCAGTGTCTGCCACACTGCACACCTGCCCCCCAGAGCAGGCATGTGCCTCCGCACCTCTGCAACCTGGCAGATTCTACTTCCTCACCCTTCTGCTTCTCACCTACCCAGCTTCCTGCTAACTCAAGAATCACCTCCTTGAGAGGTTTTCCCTAATTACCACCCACACGCTCTGTTTATATACACATAGCTTTGAACTGGGGCTGCTCATATATACTATTTCACAG